TACAACACGAGATTATGGAGTTGGGTTGGGAAGTTCTTCCTCACCCACCATATTCTCCAGATATGGCACAATCAAATTACCATCTTTTTTTTTTTTTGTTCGCTACAACACCATCTTAATGGGACAACGTATGCAAATGTGGAAGGTGTTAAAGAGGACAGTGACAAGTTTTTGCTTCAAAGCCAAGTGATTTCTTCAATCAGGGTATAACAACCTGATTGTTAGATGGAAAAGCATCATCAATAAGAATGGAGACTATTTAATTTAATAAATGTTTTGTTTTGATATATAAGTTGTTCAGATTTTTTCATCTTTAAAAAAGCAACATTAATTTCTTGACAGCCTAATATTATTGGAAATACATTTTCAGTTTAGGAAAATGTTAACTTCCAAAACTTTATAGTTACTGGTCAGAATATTCAAACAGATTTGGTAAAAACATTTTTAGGAATGCGTAAATTTGAGTGATGATGGTGAATAATCTAATTTTTCATAGTTTACTTTTTTGAATTTAAATCTGTTCTAAAAGTTTGTAATTTAGAATAATTTATAAGTTACATTATTCAGCTTGTTTCTTCATTAACTAAGAATAAATCTGAGTGATACCATGTGATTTAATTTGTTATTGTTTTAAATGTGTGATTAAACTAAACATCAGTAATTTAAGAAGGAAGAATAAATACAAATCTCGAATACAAAGTTAAAAAATCAGTTAATAAATGTTGATAGAATTCTCAGTATCTTCAAGTTACTTGAATGTTTTTGTAAGTTAAAGAATCCAGTATGTTTGTTTTTGTAAACTTCCTTTCAAGCAATGCTAAGTTATGAAATTAGTTTCTTTAATGAAGATGTTTATTTAGTATTTATACATTCATAATATGAATCATGTTAGACTGCAAACATGTTTTTTTTTCCACATTAGTCTTAAATTGCCCATTAAATTTCACATTAGAAGTATGTAAAAGTAGCATTTCAGATCTCTCTTTTGTTTTTCAAGAACTCATCAGGTGAACTGAATAATAAACAAAAAAATTAAACATGAATAGTCTAACATGATTTTTATCATGGATGTTGTACCTATTGGATTCAATGCTTTGCCAACTTTCATCTTTTAAACTGGTGTTTATGTTGTACACAACTTTGTATTGCCATTAACTTTATTTATTCATAGATTCTTCAGTCCATTCTTGAGGTCAATGTTCCAAAATTCCTCTCCCATGATATCCCTCTGTTTGAAGGAATTATCTCAGATCTGTTTCCTGGAGTAAAATTACCAAAGCCTGACTATGATGCAAGTTTTTTTACTTTCAAAATATTTAGTAAAACTGTAATGATTATAAAACAACCTCTTTTTAAAACTTGCCACTGTAACAAATTGCTTGGAAAACATATTTAATGTTTATCACTTAAAAAGACTCTATTTAAGGCTATGCATTCTATCTCTTCAGCTTTACACAAGAAAATAATAGTTAATCTATCTATTCAGTTCACCTAGTTGTACATTTTGCAGTTAAGTTTTGAAATGCATTAAGTCTTTTCATTTGTACTTCTTACAGTAATAGATAGGCTACATATTCAATCTATTTTAGACTTGATAATAATTCAGGTATCATTGTGAACATTAAAGTATAACTATGCTTAATAAAGAGAAACAACTAGTATCCACTGAAAATTCATTATTTCTCCAATATACAGCTTTATCAAGAGATACATACTACTGAACACAGCCCAGTCTTAAGAAAAAAATAGCCGATGTCATTCAAAATTATAATAGCGTGTTCATATGTATTGTCTGGCATGTATTAGATATACACACCTATTTCATTTAATACAATAGTATTATTTAGTTTATATTGTGCGAGCATTAAAGTAAGATATTTTTGGAAAGTTTGCTTATGTAACTGTTTATGAATCATTTGTTGTGTAGTTCAATTGTTGTGAATTGATCTCATGTTACTAGAACCTTCTGAATTTTTCTCGTTGCTTTAAGTGAGTATCATAATATCTTGTAGTTTGTAGGAAGTTCTTGGCCTCAGTCAGGTAATATATATTGGCAACCAAGTTAGATGAAGTAAGTTAGTGAAAGTAAAAGTGAAGTTAGACTGTGTGAGAGTTAGCCATAATGGACAATTTCTAAACTGATTTTCACAGCTTGTATTGTAATAACGTAGATAGAGAAGAATAATTTGTCTTGTAAAAGGGTGTTCTAAAGAAATTAAACCTGCCTGTGTGGAATTTGATGAAAAGGAGACAATTATTTAAAGCTCTAGATACAACTGTGGTAACCAACAGTTATAGTGGTGATTTTAAAGTGAGTATCACACCCTTTTATTGTAATAACAGTGTAGAGAAGAATAATTCATCATCATCAACTGTGGTAACCCATGAGGTAATGTAAGTGAATTTATCATTGATTGTATTGTAATAACAGAGTATTGGAGAATAATTTGTCATATCATTTGGGTTCTAAAGTAACTGAACCAGCTGGTGTGGACTTTTGATGAAAAGAGATGATTATTTAAAGCTCTGGATACAACTGTGGTGATTAATTGTATAACGAACATTTATATATATATATATATGTTTAACTTGTTTTGAATATATTATTTTAAAACAAGTGGATTGTGTGCTATACATTTATTGTTGAAATTTATCACTAACAAGTCACAGATACCTACTGAAGAAGAATCCTCAGCCCACACTCACATATACATAAAACCCTGACAATGACTTCAGTCTAATCCACTTACATTCTTGTCAGTAACAGATAGTCTCTGCATTCAGTGTATTCAGTCTTACACTTGAGGTTAATACCTATCTTACTTATTCACATTGTTCAGTTGTACATTTATAGATTTTTATTCAATCATTCACATTTTAATCTACAAACTAAAATATAGATGTTACATTAAATCAGTCTCATTGTGTACTTAATGCTAAAAATAGTTTATTCATTAAATGTATCCAGTTGTGCACTAGAAACACTGATAACTGCTACGTGATATGTTATTGTTCTTTTGCTTAGTTTACAGTATTTTTAATTTAACAATAACTTTTATGGAAATGAAAAAACTATTTTTAAGGTTATTGAATTAGGTTTCGTTCCTGTTAGAACACTTACGTATTCATGGTGACTTACAATGTATGTACAATTGATAAGTACACAGTAAACAGATAAACTCTTAAGTTTGTATTTATTTATAATTTTTTGCAAGCTTTGAGCTTTCTTTTTGGTCTGATGATCACTTCTGCACAGTGGCTGAAAGCATCTGAACAAAAACAAATAAATAAAATGTGAAGTTTACCCATTTATTGTGTATTGATTTGTTACAATGCTGTTTTTTCTTCAAGACTTTCTTAAATGCTGCTAAAGAAATTTGCCATCAGTATCAACTACAACCTGTTGACAGTTTCCTCCAAAAACTTATACAGACATATGAAATGATGATAGTGAGACATGGGTAAGTGTATTATAGTTCTTTTATGATAAGAGATAAAAGCGTAAACACAGAAGTATATGAAATGAAAACTAGATGTAATTTTTGTTCATCATTTTTCCACATAACTGAAAAATCCTTGACTTAAAGAGTCTATAATTACAGATGTTTATTAAAAAGGAATGAATGAATGCCAAACTATTCATAAGCTAAATTGATTAGTCATGTACATGTATAGTTATTCAGTCACGAAAGTGATATTTAAAGTTTACCCATATCTATTTGTCTTTAAGGGGAAGTTTTGTAAGAGGTTTTGGCATTTGAGGTATATGAATTTTTAAAAACTATTTCAGTGGAAAAGCATACAAACCATGGATTATTTTTCTGGAATATTCAGAATCTCAGAAAAAAATTCATCTGAACTTTTAATATTTTAAAAAAATTTCAGTTTAAATGAATTGGTTTTATAATGAACAATTTCACATTTGTTATTAATTTTGAATGACAAATGGATTTGGAAAGCCATTAGAATTTATTCTGGAAATGAGTTTTATGGCTAAAATAATTGGCCATATTCAACAAAGTTTGTTTTGGTTTGTGAAAAAATATGTATACAAATATTTTTGGACTGTAAAAGAACAGTGAATTTGTACATTTGTACTCAAGTTATTATTTTGCATGCCACTATTCCAATACAGCTTTATGTTGGTTGGAGAACCCTATGGTGGAAAAACTAAGGTTATAGAGGTACTGGCTGGAACACTAGGATACTTGAAAGAACAAGGAAAAGATGAAGAACGAGTTATTTACTGCACCATCAATCCAAAGTCTGTAACCATGGGTCAGTTGTTTGGACAATTTGATCCTATTTCACATGAGGTAAGTATAATCTTATTTGTTATATGTAATGTTGTTATTAATCCAATAACTTAATAGGTTAATGAAATAAATCGTTTTATTTATAAATTTTCAAAACTTTCATTGTCATAATTAGTAGCCTGTATTATCACCAAACTCTCATTAAGAAGATCTAGGATCAAATCCTGGTCACTACCAACAGAGAAATAGTCCTGCTTAGGACACACCTGAGAAAAGCACCAAATTAACGGCCAAAATGTAGAATAAAACTAGTTAGTAATTAGTATAAGGAAAAAGTTACTAATTAATAATTATACTTTATTGATTTTATATCATATTAATCATGACTATTATTGAAATTCTATCCCCACAACCTTACTATAAGTATTTTCAAAAGCTTTGAGTATTGGATGAATTTGACAGATAAGGGAGATTGAAGAGAATTTTTAGATGCTTTACTAGTTGTAGTTGAAGATCTGGGATGGTTTTAGTTTCTTTATTTAGATGGTTAACTAACAATAATTGTTGACCTGATAAAGGTTTTGCTTCTTTATTCAGTTACTTAACTTTCAGTAGTTAAGGAACTGAGGATCTGGTTTTATTATTTATTTGATTTACTAAAAGTGTAATAGTGTGAGTTATTAAAAAGTTACTTACTAGGAAGTACTAGTTATATAAAACATCTTACTTTAGCTCAGTTCGTAGAGCACTCACTTGGTGTGTGTGACAAAGCTCAGGTTCAAGTCCAAGTTGGGAAACATGTTGTGAAAAACAATTAGCACAGCAGTGGGACTGAGGTGGTTAATTTTTTTTTTACTTGGATAATTCATTAACATTAAGTGTACAACAGTACTTGAACCCAACAGTTAATGCTTGTGTGTTACATAGCTGTATTCTTTCTTTATTGTTATTTTCATCAAAAGTATTGGTTAGAATGTGTAATGTATCTAATTTTATTACATTTGTTTTTTATTTCTATTATTTTGCTTTTGCTATATAGTGTTCTGCATTTTTAGGTCAATGTATGTATTTAGAACTGACTAGATCTCCTAAACTGGCTGAACCCTGTGAAGTATTACTGTATTTATGTCCAAAAATATTATCTACAATGAGACTACCTAAATGATGAAACACTGCATTCTAATTTTTATAAGTAAGAATGTAAGAAAAGTGTACTTAATTAACTATGTTCATTACCAGGTTGATTTTTATGTAGGTGACTTTCTCTGACTGGAACTTAATATTAATTAATAACTAGCTGTAGTTTGAGAAATGAGGAAATATTAGTTTATTTGTTCAGCTACTCAGCTCTCAATAATTAAGGAAATGAAGTCTTTTATTATTATTACTTATTAACCAACATTAGCTAGAGACTTGTGTTGGTTCTAGGTTCTTTATAATGCTGGTTAGCTCACTATATATTTTTATATGAAAGAATTTTAATTTGTTTAATTAAATTGTTTACATTTCAGTAGTTAAGGAAAATAAAGATATTTGAGATTATTTAGCTACATAATTAATGTTCTGAAATTGTTCATGTGTCGTTATATTATTGATTAACTAAAACTGTTTGGATAACAGAGAAGATTCTGTTGTGTTTATATAGTTGATTAAGTAACACTCTGAAAACAGAAAGTTCTAGTGTATTTATTTGGCTAGTATATTAATACTGATGGAAAACCTGAAGTTAACTGATGAAAGTTGCAAATATTTTATTATTTCTTCTTATGATTAACTAACAATGAATGGAGATCTGAAAATATATGTCTTACAGTGTTAATTATCTACGATTAATTTGAATATTAAGAACTTATCTGGCATATTGCTATTATCAGAGAACTCAGCAACACCTATTATTTTTACCAATATATATATTCAACAGTTATAGAAATGATATGGTTCTAATCCTAGCTATGTATAACAGTTGTTGGAGAAATGACATAGTTGTAATCCTAGCAGTGTGTATCACTTGCTGGAGAAATGTTCAGCTCTAGTCCTAGCTATAGCTGTGTTTAACAGTTGTTGGAGAACTGATATGGTTACAGTTTTTACTTGCTGATTTACTAATAGTAATTGAAGAACTGGGAAGCATTTTTTATATCAATTATGTGAATTCAGAGCAGTGATGAAGTTGAAGTATTTAAAAGGCTGTAGTTTTTCACTTAGCTGATTACATATCATTAAAAAAAGCAATTAGAATTTATTTTCAGTGGTTAGCTGTTTAACTGTCAGTAGTTGGAGATCAAACATTATTAAATATATATAGTTAATTTGAAGAATAAACAATTTTTTTTATATACACACAGAACAGTTGTATATTACTCCAGAAAATACTTTAATTTATTATTCTCCAATGTTTCACCACATAGCTTCACCAAAGAAATAATCTGTGATATACAGGCATATCATATGTTTACTATCTGCTTTATTGGTATAGAGATATTAAAAATGATTTGGTTATTTAGTTTCCATATTCTAATGATGGCAAACACATTCCAAAACATAATTACCTCCTCTGCCACTTATAGGTATTTCTCAACCATCAGGGTTTGAACTTTGCCCATCTAAGTATAGGTCTGATTTTATCTCTCTTGCTCCAGTCTTTTGTACTCCAATTGCCCTTGGCGATATTTGTCTCATGATACTCCCCACTTACATCAGTGCATTCAATCCAATCCAATCATGGTAGAAATTTAGGTTAAAAGTATATTTCATTCCCCGAAGGGGTATAAAATATAACCCGGGGCAGTCAGAAACTTTCACTTCTTTCACCCCTTCAGTGCACCCTCTATCCTGGTACTGTATATAAGCACCTCATTCAGATAATTTTATCACTTTTTCGACACAAAGCATTTCTCTACAGAAGTGCTGGAATAGTTAACATCCTTGGTTGCAATTTTCGCATTACCTAGTGGCTTTCTATACAAATCATATTTGATAATCATTATTTTAAAATATATATATTTAAGAAATGCATTACCTAGTGGCTTTTTATATATATTATTTTAATTATTACTATTTTAAATATACAGAATTAAGAAATGCATTACCTAGTGGCTTTCTATATAAATTTTATTCAATAATTATTATTTTAAAATATATTTTTAAATTAAGAAATGTGGTTTTCAGGCACGAATTTGCAGGTTAATGTTTCCAGCATGGAGGCTAATCAGCCCTCCTCTATTCCACCTCTGTTATCTAGAGTGTCTCAAAGGTTGGTGGGAGGGGCACTCTCAGCTGAGGCTGTTCGTGATCTGATTCATTGTGAGATGGAGACATATATTCTCTCCAGGGGGTTCTGAGGCTCAGGACAGGATTCAGGATAGTCTGCAGAGAATTTGGACTCTCTTTTGCAGATATTGTTGTTTAACTGCCCCAACATTTTTTGTATTAGTGGACAGATGGAGTGGTGGCTCTAACTTTTCGACATTTTGCATCATCAGAAAGTTTGGATCGCAAGTGGGTGGTGTTTGATGGACCAGTGGACACACTGTGGATTGAAAGTATGAACACTGTGTTAGATGATAATAAAAAGGTTTGTCAGGTTCTAAAGTATATTAGAAATAAATAACCAATAAGTATAGATAAGATAACATTCTCAATTAAAACTAGTGTTAAGCAGTGAGTAAAGTATTTTAACATTATATATATAAGTAATAGATAATTAAAATAACACTCATATACATGTACATTAACCATTTATCATTAAATTCTGATTAAGTGAAGCTACCTAAATACATTAAAACTAAAACTTCCCCAATAATGAATATAATTAATGTTATATGCTATTCCTACTTAATGATTAGAATGTACTGATTTGTCAGATCTTTAATACATATACCAATAGATCTGTTAGTGATATATTTTTTAACTGTAATCCTATGAATATCTTATAAGGTCCAGCCAACTTTGAAGATTTAGGCTAGCTCTAAATTCAGGTACTAACAATGCAAAACAGCAAGGTGGTTGAATCCATTTGGGTTTCTATTAGTGAATATAAAGGGAAAAGGCTTTTAGTGGGAAATTGTTACAGACTACTAGATGATACTGATGAAATTAGTAAGAAACTTTACAATATGATTAAGGTTTCAGATGTTAATGAAGTCATAATTATGGGAGATTTTACTTTCAGGCATATAGATTGGGAAATGCTAAAGTCAAACCATGAAGTTGAAAGGTTTTTGGAAACTGTTCAAGATGGCTTTCTTCACCAATTAGTTAAGGAACCTACTAGAAATAATGCTATTTTAGATTTATTGTTAAATTCTAATATAGAAATGATAGAGAGGGTGGAAATTGGGAACATCTGGGTGCAAGTGCTCTATTAGGTTCGATGTTTTGCTGCATATGGAAATAAGGAATAATGGTATTATGGTTACAAGTTTCAAAAAAGCAAATTTTGAAGATATGTAACAAGACTTATCTGTTGTGAATTGGGCAACTGAGTCACTTGGAGACACTAATCAAATGTGGAAGTTTTTAAATATTCAAGGTAAATACATTTCTTATAGAAAGAAAATGGTTGGTGCAAGTGAAAAACCAGGTTGACTCACAAAGAGTATGAGATAAAATTAAAGAAAAGCATCATAAATTTAAGGAATTTAAATTGGCTGGTATGATGGGAAATTGAAATGATTATAGAAGAATAAGAAAGCTGGTCAACCAGGAAATTAGGACATCAAAAATAAAGTATGAGAAAATGTTGGCTGAAAATGTAAATATTAGTTATAAGGATTTATTTAAATACATTTAGAGTAAACAAAATGTTAGGATGAATGTATAACCTTTGAGGGATGATAAAGTAAGGCTCGTATATGATGGTTATGGGATGGCTGAGTTATTAAATTCTGCTTTTTCTTCAGTTTTTACTAATGATAATTTAAGTATTATTCCACATCTTGAACAGTTGATAGATGGAAACGAAATCAAACAAGATGACTGCATTAATTCTGAGCTTGTTAAGAAAAAATTGGGAAGTTTAAAGAATGATAAGGTTTCTAGGTGAAATAATATATCCCTGAAGAGTTTTGAAGGAAGTTAAGGATTGGATATGTGAACCACATGCTGCTATTTTTTGTAAGTCCTTGAAAAGTGGGCAGATGTCAGAGGATTGGAAATTTCACTCCTCTTTTCAAGGGAAGTGATAAAAATTGTCCCAGTAATTATAGGCCCATTAGACTTACATCAGTTGTGGGAAAAGGTTACTGCTTATGTAGATGAGGGTAAGGGTGTAGATTTGGTGTATCTGGATTTTCAAAATGCATTTGACAAGGTGCCACATAAAAGGCTTGTAAAAAAATTATCTCTATAGGTGTGTGGGATAAGTTAGCAAATTGGATAGAAGAATGGCTAGATGGAAAAAAGCAGAGGGTTTTTATAAATGAAGTTCAGTCAACTGGATTACTGTTACAAGTGGGGTACCTCAGGGCTCAGTCTTAGGACCTTTGCTTCTTTTTTTTTTATTTACATCCATGACATAGGTGAAGGAATGGTCAATGAATTACTTAAATTTGCTGATGATATTAAATATTGTTATACAGGTTTCTATCATTGAATATTTGTTTTTTATTTGATATAAGTAATCCTAATTGGAGTCCACTTAAGAAAAAGAAAGTATTTATTATACAAAACGTTTTACAGCATATACAGTTTCATGAAATAAGAATAACCAAGTGATTGGCCCAATTCACAAATCATGCTAAACAGTCACTTATTAATCTTCTTCTCGTATCTGTGGCAGAAACTCAACAGAAATGTACAGCAATGAACTGAGTAACTCAGTAATCAACTGACTGATTTGCTTTCTAACTAACTGATTGATTAATTTAACTTGTCAACTCAACAACTCTACTGTTTTCATACATTATTCATTTTTCCTCAAGTCTGTACAAAATTTGAAACTTCACATGGGTGTGATGTCAAATTCTTGATAATCAGGAATCTTCTATATGCCACAACATCATTATGTCATGCTAAAACTTCCGGTATACAATACAAAAAGTTTAAAGTCTTAAAATTTTAGTTTCAACAATATTTAAGGATTTTGACATGTTTAAATGTTTTAATGATATTCTGCTTGTTACAGCTTTGTTTAATGAGTGGTGAAATAATACAGATATCTCCATCCATGAGCTTAATTTTTGAAGTAATGGATCTTTCACAGGCATCTGTAAGTAATTAAAACTTCTCATTTGAGGTGATTTTGTATATTTTAAGGATGTCTTTTGGTTTTAAAAAGTTGTATTTTAAATTTTAAAAAGAGATTGATTGCTTTAAAAAGTTTATCAAAACAGTAAACATTTGTTCAGGCTAATTTATTTTTGAATATTTTTCATGTTGTTACATATGCTTAATGAAAATCACATGATGAAATATAATACAGTTACTTAACAATGGAAATATTTGAAACTTAGTTCTTTATGTATAGTATCATGGTACGAAATAAGTCAAATGTTTTGAATTTTGTGAACTTTGAAACTTAAAGATTGTTACTTAGGAAACTTCAACAAGTAGTACACATTGATCATATTTTTTTTACAAAATTATTGCTAAGTTGTGTGTGCATCATTTTTACATTTATAATAATAATATTAAAGAAATTTGTAAAATAATATATTTATTGAAATCATAAGTGATATGAATATTGTTTTTCCACAACTGTGATTTTCATGATGGTAAAATAATTTTTCAATATAACATACTGCATTTATTGAAAAGTGGTTGGATTTTTCTTGAAGGTTTTGTAATTATCGTGATATTACAGGAATATTTAATATTAAAATTATATTTTGCAAGAATTATTTTCTTGTAAGGTTTGAATGATTTTAATAATAAATTAGATTGGTTCTTCAAAGGAAATTAAGATTTATTTAGTATATTTTCTCATTAGCCTGCAACTGTAAGTCGTTGTGGAATGATCTACTTTGAACCATTTTTGCTTGGCTGGAAGCCACTCATGGAGACCTGGATTTTCCAACAATCTGAAAACTGGTCTGCAGGGCAAGAAGACCTTTTACGAGCCATGTGTCTGTGGCTCATCCCTTCATGTCTTACCTTTCTCAAGGAAAACTGCAAGGTTAAATATTGTACATATATTGTTTCCTAACCCTTTTTACTGTGTATTGAAAAGCTTTAGGATTTCTTCATACACAGTTTTTATGTTTCATAAAAAAAAACATAATCATTTTTAAAACACTCTAAAAGCTGCTATAGGATTATTTTATATTATATTGACTGGACTAAAGTAGTAAAGTTTAGATGATATTTATGATGATAAATTTAGATTTAAAAATAACTATATATCTACATTGTATTTGTTATGAAAAATGTACTAGCACATTCACTAATTAGGGTTAAGAAGTTTTATGTCAGAATTTGTTACCAACTAATATTTTTTTCTATTATTTCAAATGCTTGGGTTTTTGTAGTTTCTGTGAAATACATATATGTTTGTGTACTTGTGTGTGTTTGTACATATACGAATTAGAAGTTTCATGAAATCATGTTCTGGAGGGACAAAAGAAAGCTGAAGTTCTAACGATATAGAAAAAAGTAATCTTTGAATATTAGCAGTTTCTTACTTTCTAATTTATTCTTGCTATCTACCATTTTTATAGAACACAAAAATCTTAACTATTTAGAATCACATAGACTTAAAAGGTGAAAAAATGTAATACAAAGCTACTGGTATCATGGGTGAAGATTTGGACCAATTAATTACTTCTCACTATAGATGTGACCAACAATTTTCATAATTCATGGTAATAAGCTGTTTTTAAATGCATGAAAGATTTTACAAAAGGTAAAATTAATTGTTTCTTGTCTATTATGTGAAGTTAAATTTTCAGTAGTCAGAAAGTTATCATAATTTATCTTACTGTAATATGTGGAGTAATATTTTCATAATAACTTGCCATACTTTAATAAAGCACATTAAGTTTGTTTTAAATTTGAAAGTAAAATTAAGTAAATGTTTGGAGATTAACTTTTCAAGCAAGCAAATTATTTTTGGTACATAATGTTTTTATGAAAAATTAAACTAGTTTTGTTCATAAAACCAATTTAAAACAATTTCAACAAATGACAGAGGTACATTTACTGTGAAAATGGTTGGCCCAGAATTCTGAAAGTAAAATAAAGAACATGTATATATTTTATTGAAATAGTATTATTCAAATAATTAAATTTATAATTGATTGAAACATGTTGCTTGAAATGGAAAACAAGTTTGTAACAATTTTTACGGTCTTATGTTTTGTCTGTTAGTGGTAAAAGGCAAATGATCTATATTTTTTAGTAAGATTATCATTTATTTGGGGTTTCAACTAGTTAAAACCTTTTCAATAGTTTTATCTAAACAATGTGTACATAACTATTATCTTAGTATTTTATCAAGTGTTTAAATTTTGGTTTAATATAAAGTATTAATATTTAATGGTGTTCATTTTAGAAGTATAATTTTTATTTTATGTACATGTTGCGTCATCGAGATCACGTGACTATTCTCACGCCCTCTACTTTCTAGAACTATCCTGTACTTTGGCGAATGCTCTAGAATTTACTAGATATATAGGGTAGTCTGGTATATAAAAGAGGGTGACAACGTGACGGGAAGGTAATGTGTGTGTAGATAGTGAGTAATTGAACTGCAGTCAGAAGTATTGTTGACGTTCGTTGATATAGCGTTTGTTATAGAGCGATTGTTGAAAATAAGTGTATCGTAAAGTAGTATTCGGAAAGAATAAACCAGTTTTATTAAGTGAGGACTTGTGTCGCTAAAGTTTCGTCGGAACGAAGTTACGGAAAGTTAATTAACAAACGGAGAAGTAACATACAAAATTGTATAAATTCTAAGAGCTTTTTTATTAATAAGTAATATTTCTTGTTGTATGACTGAAGCATATTTTGGATAATACTCTTTCATATATCTCACTGTGTAAATCTTTTGATAGGTATATAGTGCAGAAGGGCTTTCAGAAACTCTAGAATACCATGTATGCATGATATTGAATAATTGGTTATGATTTCAGTTGAAATACAAACATTCTAAATAATATTAAGTTACACATAGATGTATAAATTCTCTTTTCACTATAAATGTTTGGGTATGGCCTGATAGTTAGTCTGTAGGACTGTAAAGCTGAGGGTTCATACCTCTCACCTTAATCCATCAAAATTGCATTTTGCACTTTGGAGCCATGGATGCATTATAATAGGAATAGTCAAATCTGACTAATCAATTAGAGTACCCAAGAGTTGATGGTAGGTGCTATTGATGAGCTTCTTTCTCTCCAGTCTATCAGCTCAAAATTAGGGATGGCTGAATATTAGAAATAAACAAATACTATAAAATGTAATGACATTTTTCAACATATTCAAGCTATTCGGCCAACCAAATATGAATCTCAAAATTTTACACAAGCATCATTTGGTTCTTTTCAGTATTTAGATGTGATAATCACATTTCATAATTATTTTTAGTCTCTAAAGTTAATGAAATATACAGAGGCTAAAATTTTGTAAATCATAACATATAATTTTTAAGATGATAACTCATTTCTCCATACATAAATATTATTTGCCTCGTGTGTCCACTTATGATATTTGCCTGCCACTAGCCTTGAAGTAATTTCCACCTAAATGCACATCTTTAATGGGTCCTGCACTGGTACATAATGATGTCATTGTGTTCAAAAGCCCTCCATCAATAGAAGGGTGAAATAAACTCCATGTGCAGTAATTCTTCCTATGCACTTGCACTTGTGATAATATCATTCTTTTCCTTGGCATTATACGAAACAAACATGTTCAAATTTTGTCTGGCTTCAGTTTGATAAGATTTGCATTTGTTAATGATACTTTGATTTTTGTTTCCTTCAACTTCTGTGTGAAAAGCTTTAATTTCTGTCATGAATTATCAAGTAATGGTAGCTTCTATTTACTTTTGTGTGAGTTATGATGTTACACACACTGGCTTTATTTTTACTGTGGCTTCTGGAGGCTCTTTGACTGTTGGAGACATTTCAGCCTTTGTTCAGCAGTTATGGAATAACACATGCTTACTTTGCCTCCTACTCCTGTCCTGTCAGTTGATGCTCCTTCTCCTCTATTGGGAATGGCCTATTGAACTATGAATTTAACCTGATTTGCTTTACATAGTGCCTTACCATTAGAATTATGACCTTACCCTTCCAATTTCTTTTTGATTTTCATTCTCCATTATGTTCCTTTCCTTATCTTTCACCTGTGTCCTTTATTATTTCTTGTTCTTCACTCTATGAACTCAGTTCATGGGGTTTACCTTTTTTTCATCCTTGATTGTTATTAGAGTTTATGCTGTTTTCTTTCAGTAACAGCTCTTCTCTCATACCCAAATGCTTCATTCTCCTTGCATTTGTGATTCTTTTGTCTTGACTTTTAGACATTCTTCCTTTAATTTCTATATACTCTGTCTTTGATATCTATTTGACCTACTTGAGGATTATGCCCCATGCCTTCTATTTTGCTCGCTGGTTCATCATTTTTTGTCATTTTCTCATCACCCTCCAATATTCCCTCCTCCTTTGTCTGAGACACTTCTTTGTGCTCCATAGTGGTTTTCTGTAGAAGTTTGTTTCATTTTATTTGCCACTTTATCCTGTTACACTTCTTCTACTCTATCCCTCCTTACTTGTTTCCCTGCTGTTGGGACATGTTGGGTCGAGATGTGTTATTTTTAACTGTATATCTTTCTTCTCGTTTATGTCATCTTTGTCAGGATCTCTTTCTTCACCTGGATGTCTTTAGGAGTGTTTATTTTTCACTAGAGACCTGGACTGAAGTCTTACAAGTTCAGTCCTCATTCAGTCCTTTCTAGGTTTTTTTTTCTTCTTTCTTGACTTTGCCCTGTGACTTTTGTTCCTCATCTGGATCAGTCTACCCTTAACCTTCCCATTCCAGGTTCCAGTCCTTTCTCTTTTTCTCATCCCCCACTACCCGATGTCTGGTCCATCACTCTTTTTGTCAGTAATTATCCTGTCATGTCCAGCCCTTTGCATACCCACCTCTTCCTGTTTGCCTGCAAATAGTCTCATTTTCTACCAACAGTCATTTTTCATTTTCTCCCCCAAAGTCTCTCCTTGCCTCTTTTCTCTTTGCTCCTATTCCCATTTCTCATCCCTCTTACCCCATCTATGGTCTTTTTTACTTCATTCAGAATGAGGGGTTCTTCCACTTTTGGGGACCCTGGCTTTCCTGAAGCCCCTCATTCCTTTGTGGTGCACACATGCACCTCTCCCAGTGGTCCTTGGGATCCAAGAGATTCTTTTTCAAGATCCATTGTCCTTATTTGTGAACCTACCCTCTTCTCTCCTTGAGAAATTGTCATGAAGACTGAATCATACCCATACTACTTTCAGCATTCCCTTACCAACTAATAAGCTTGATCTTTCTCTTCATTAATGCTTCCCTCTTGGATTGAGGCACATCTTTGGATGATGACATGACTTCTGGTAAGATGGGCTTTCACTCCACCTCGATTTGCTTGAACTCCTCACTGCTCTTTGGGAATGTTCCCATTTCCTGCCTCTGCATATACTACCAAGGAAGTACGCACTCCAGAACTTTTGCTTTTGGATATTGGGCCTACTCATCTTGGCTCATTCATATCGGGTTTGTCCTGTTGTCTGTCATTTGCCTGGAGCTGTGTACCTTTTGATGGACCACCTCTCTTGTTCAGTCTGCATTCAACTCATGGAGTGGTTTCTTCACCCCAGGTCTTTTGTTCGGTTTACTCTCAGTTGGGTACACTCCTCTTAGACACCTTAGTTCCAATATTCCTCTCTTCTGGTCCCCTGTTTCTCATCCTTCAGCTCTCAGCCAAGACTCACTTTTTCTATATGTATATTCTCCTCTTCAATTCCTCCCTTAGGTCCTCAACTTGATAACTTGATGCTCAATGCTCCTTCAGGATTCCTACTGTGGCACCTCTTTGGCTGCCTCAGCCTTGGTTTCCTCTGCTTCTTGACTTGGCATCCAGACCCCCCCTCTTCATGTACCCAGTATTTACTCACTTTTACTTCAACTTTTCATATCCTTTTTTGTCAAGAGATGTTATCCTTGCATTTTCATGTATGGGATTTGTTCATGTCATTTGGGCTGAACTCTCCTATCATTTAACCTTCTTTTTGTCATGTTCCTTTCACTCTTCTACTTTGTTTGATATCAAAAACAGTGGTGATCTTTCATTGTTGATCCATCTGCCATTCCTTTCCTCCCAGCCATTCTACTGTTCTCCACTTTTCTGTCTTTTTTTTTTTTTATTGGCTCTTCAACCATGGTTTGTCATTCTATACCATTGCTGGTTGTCAGGTGGCATTGTTCTCTGCACTTCCCCTTCAAGGTACCACAGGGTGTTTTCTTCCCCTGTCCTTTACAATCTCTTCCATACCTTCCTTCTTTACTATCCTCCTTGCCAAACTCCCATGAGTGCCTGGATCATTAATGTGGTTTCACATGCTATTATGCATGCCCCATGTGAGCCATTGGCTTCTTGCTCTTTCTATCACTTTTCTCTCACATTTTATTTCCTCCCTCTTCTTGCCTGTTTTCTATGCTACTGATGTCTCTCACACTCCTTTCCACCACATTTATATACTCCTTTTCAAACTTCTGTAGTTTGGAGAGTTAATAATCCTTCTCCCCAGCTTCTCTTCCTTCTTTCTTTCACCTTTATGATCATTCAGACCCATATCAACTCTTGTGTTCTGTCTGAGCTGTACAGTGCTGCTTATCATGGAATTTTTCCTTCCATGGTCCTTGCTATAATCTCTTCCTACCCTGGGAACCCTCTTCTTCTACCTTTAATGGATAGGTCTGTTGACTTCTTAAGTTGATATAATTGTCTTTGGATGTTCATAGGCAATTTCACAGTTTTTTGCTTTCTTTTCATGACCTTTCTCATTCTCTTGCTTCTCATCTTTGTTGGCTCTAGGATGAGATCATCCAGGCAAGTATGTGGTTGACTTCCCATATGTTCATCACTTTTCTTGTTACTGTCTGGCTGTTTTCTCTCATGCAGGATTTTGACTTTCATCAGTAACCATACTTCAATATACCCACTATTTTTGAAATAGGTATGTATGTTTCCCTTTTCATTTTTCTCATTTTCCATTGAAAGGATCCATCAGATGGCTGGCTTTGCCTCCCAGAGTATGCTTACTTCCCAAAACACTCATTGAGCCAGGATAACAGAAAGCTTTCAAACCATCCACCCTGGCTCTACTAGTGAACATTGTGAGATGGGATGTTCTGCAAGACCATTTCAGGTATCATCCTGGTATACAAATTTATGCATTTGTATAATCCAGACTGTATCAGTTCCTTGAACTATCATGGAAAATGCCAACACCTGGAAGTGACTGCCTGATTGCACTTGCTGGGTTTTACAAATAGAGACTTGTGATCACTCATTGTACCATCTCCAATAAAAGACCTTTCTGTATGGTGGTCTAAAGGGGATCTCGGCACTTCACTGGGTCTACCCAATGCAAATTCTCCTCCCCTTTTTCGAGTGGAGTGGGGGAGACCCTTGCTATTTACCAGTTCCCAGCTACTAGGGTGGGAACCATGGAAAATCCTAACCAGTTGGGCTAAGAACAATAC